GGTGTAAAAAACCAGAAGGCAATGTATTAACTCAGCTTACAATACCTGAACATGAGTGCATGTGTATAATTTAAGGCTTTGTAACAAGAAACATTTTGTGAAAGAGGAGAAACCTCCTTTCAAGTTGTTGGTCAGCGTAGTCCAAGAGACTCACAAAATAACACAGGATAATAGATAATGACACAGCCCTTTATTATCTCCCAGAAACTGAGGATGAGACCCTCTTGCTGAAGACAGGACATACTTTTGTCACAGGACTTGGAGTAATGGAATTAGAACTGACCTGAAAGCCTCTTCTCCAAAGACTAGCTTTCATAGTTCTAGAGGATATTCTGCAAGTTGCTAAGGGAGAAAAATCAATCAATGGTCCAACTGTAGCTTTAAAGTCTAATAACCACACATGACTGACACAAATCTATAGCACTGCAGTACTCGCATTTTTATGCTGGGGGTAATAAACAGGTATCTAATTGGCCTGAAAGCCCTCTCAATGGGAGGGAAACATAGCCAAATACACATGGCTAGAAAGGTCACAGATCCTAGAGAAAACAATCTCTTACATATCCCTAGAGAAATGTAATTTCTTACCATTTGCTAAATATGGACCCTTATTTTTACAGAAAAGTGTACCATTCACCATTCATCAAAAAAGTTTTTTTAGTTGGTCACACATAGAAAATATGTGCTGGAGAGACACCAGCCCTAAGTGATACATCTACAGTGGAACCTCTACACCTACGGTTCATGGAACATAGAAGAACAGGGGTAGAGAAAACACTAATGCATTCCTCAACTCTCACCAGTGAAGCTTCTCATGAAACAGAATGTGATGCACACAGAGCCCATAACTGACCAAGGTATAGAGAATAAGAGACTGCAGAGTGTGTCTCCCTGGATAGGATTCCTATATTAAACATTTCCCACCCATGGCTCAGGGACCATTGTGAAAGAGGGGTTGCAAACAGTGTAAGAGCCAGGTTTGGTGCATGAACATAAGGAAACAGTCTTCCAGGCCTCTGGGAACTTGCTCCTATGAACTTGCAACAATGGTGGCAGGATGCACAAGACCCATGCTGATTCGTCGGACAAAAACCCAGCCTAAAACTGGGGACATGGGAATCAGGCCCCAATCTTTACTGAGGAATTATTAGGAACCAATTTCTGATGAGTGAGGGAAAGTTGGTCTTCTTTAAGGGAGAGAATCTAGATAGACTGATTAAATTCCAGAGGATAAACTTCCACTAAGGGACATCAGGTATAAAAGATTGCCTTGATAGGCCATAACATATTATAACTGAATGCATGAAATTTGGTTGGGGGTTATGAGGGGTACAGATGGTGGAGGGATTCTAAATATGATTAAGATTTATTGTATAAATGCACAAAAATTCAATAAAAATATACGTTATTAAATAACCATCAATTTTTCACCAAGTTGGACTTTGGTGGCATCCTTTATTTGGACAGTCTGGCTCCCTGTTTGTGCTGAGAAGACATTTGTTCATGTCTCCCCAGTAACAGTGTCACACATCATAGGGAACCTCAATAATTGGAGTTTCCTGAGCAGTTGTCCCACTAACTTTAAGACACATGGTGCCACGGTGAGCATCCCATCTCTGGTTGATGGCTGATGCCATGCTGTAGTTTCTGATTCATGCATGTCCCTCACTGGGTCCCAGAATCTCTGCTGGCATCGTTTCTTTCCTTGGGCAGGTTGCTCATAACCCTGTAGCTTTAGATCTGTGCTGTGCTGAAGAAAATGTGCTGCCTTCCGGTTGGATTAGTTTTACTATTGTTTCTGAAAGAACAAGATGAACATGGCTCTCAGCTGATGTCTCAAAGCTTAGTTGACCAGACCCAAATGTGAACCAGCAACTGAACAGACCAAACACTGTTTCCCAATTAACTCAGGAAAAGGAATATGTATTAAAGCAGCGCAGGCCTGAGTTATGCCTGTTAAGAAGTCAAGCAATCCTTCATGATTCCACTTTCATAACTTCTAGAAATAGAAAGCTGACCTGAAGAACCCAAAGATGATGATCAGTACCATCCTGGAGACAAGCCAGAGGAGCAGGAGGAAGCTTCCAGAGTGATGAGCTGTTCACTGCCGTCCTTGTGGGAGGGCCTGTAGGTGCCCACATACGTCAGTGTCTATCACATGCTGAGCTGTGTGCTATCATTGTGTGTCAGTTTTTCCTCACTATTCCTAGTGAATAAATGCGTACATGTGTGGTGAATAGAGGGACTGGGATGAAAAATGACATGGAAAATTCAGACTCCTAAAAACATAGTGGTCTGGCCAGGCCTGTATAGGTTCTTAAGTAAAACTGTGACTATCACATGTTCTCAATACAGGAAGGGGGTTCCCAACCTCAGCTGGCAGCTCCACTCAAGACTGGAGATTGGTCAGGGATTTCTATACACAGCAGAGAAGATGGCACTACTAAATGCATTTTCCATTTACACTTCTAAAGCAGAATACAGGATAAACACTGTTTACCACAGAAAAGTGACTTAACTAGAGATCAAATTCTAAAAGTATAGACACCGTGATGACACTCCAAAGCCACCTTTACAACTACACCAAGCCCAGGCTTTGGTGAGATGCTCACAACAGAGCTCACTATATAGCAGAAGAATATGCAAAGAGGGCCTCCCTCTGCTTATGAAAACCAGCCCAGTCCTGACCCAGCAGCTCTGGGAGGGAAGCCCAGCCCTGCACTCCCAGCTCTTCCCATTCAGTGACCAGCACTGAACACAGACTCACCATGGAGTTGGGGCTGAGCTGGGTTTTCCTTGCTGCTGTTTTAAGAGGTAATTTACTGCATGTGTGAGCGAAGATGAGCTTGAGGGACAATGGACATGCAGATCAGTTTCCTGATCAGAATTTCTATTTGTTTGTAGGTATCCAGTGTCAGGAGCAGCTGGCAGAGTCTGGAGGAGGCTTGGTGAAGCCTTGGGGAAGCCTGAAACTCTCCTGTGCTGCCTCTGGTTTCACATTCAGTAACTGGATGAGTTGGATCTGCCAAACTCCAGGGAAGGGGCTAGAGCGGGTGGGACAAATTAACCCTAATGGAGGTAGCACATACTACCCAGACTCCATGAAGGGCCGATTCACCATCTCAAGAGACAATTCCAAGAACACTTTGTCCCTGCAAATGAGCAGTCTGAGATCTGAGGACACAGCCACATATTACTGTGCAAGGAACACAGTGAGGGGACTTCAGTGTAAACCCAGACACAAACCTCCCTCCAGGGTGTTCAGGACCAACAGGGGGTGCCCAGAACACATAGTGCTCAGAGTCAGGACAGGATTAGATGCAGATATGATTGAGTTCTGGGCTCTACTGACTGCATTGCTTCCAAGTTTGATGGATTCCATGGGATCCTCTCTACATTATGGTCTGTAAGAATCTTTGATAGCTATAAACATAAAGTTTGTGACTTTGCTACAACTTTAAATAAAGACATAACTACTCTGACATGAACAAAATGTAGTGAGTCACTTAAAGGTACAGAATTTCCTGTGCTGTGGTCGCCAGGAGAAGATACTGGGGAGATAAGGGGTTCTGTTGAAACTTGTATTTCATGGAGATTCAAGTCAGAGCTTCTGTGATCCAGTCAGGGCTTGAGAATCAGAAAGGAAATAGGAGGGAGGTGGCCAGCTTCAGTGATCCCATACCTAACTGCTCTCAAATCTTACTTTTGTCTTTAAATACTGTGCACAAAGGACATTGAACGGATTATATTTATTTTTTAATATTTTAATTTTATGTGTATGAGTGTATTGCCTACATGTGTGTCCACGCACCCGCACCCTGAAATGCCTGTGGATGTAAGAAGGAGTTGGATTCTACTGGAAATCGACTCACAGACGCTTGTTAACCACAGTGTGGGTGCTGGGAATCAAACCCATGTCCTCTACAAGAGAAGCCAATGCTCTTTTCTGCTGAGCCATCTATCTCTCCAGCCCTCAAATTGTATTTTAAATTAAATTACTTTCTTACTCCGTGTCTCTCATTCTCACAGTTTTCATTTTTCCTAGTTCCACCAGAAAACATAACTTGTGGGCTAATCCTACAGTTCGTTAATTTATGTGGAACTCAGCTGTGGCTCAGGGTCTGGGTCCTAGGGGGCCTTGGGGAATACTAGTGGGGTGTGCACAGCCCCAGTTTCACAAAGTCCCTCTCCTGCCTTCTTCGAATGAACCCTTCTAGTAAGTAAAATAGACATGATCAAAGTTTGTGCAAAAATGGCAGTTAAATTGTGGTGAGGATGTAGGGCTCACTTTGCTCTGCTCAACCTGCCCTGTGTCTCTTCCATCCTATGTCACCTTGAGGAGACATGCAGATGATCACGCTGATGTGTCTCTGTGAGGCATGTTCTGCTGACACTTCACTAGGAATGCCACTCTGAAACTGAATGTTATTGAAGCCCCTATCTCTCTTCCACCATCCCATGGCTCTCCTCTAACATGTTCTAGATTTTTCTCCTAGAACACAATTGTAAGAAAGATTCTCATTTCATTTATTCTAGATATATATCTGCATAAAAACCCTGTGCAGAAACATATTAGTTTGTAAAGTAAAAAGGTACAATTAAAAAATTAACCCAGACTACAACATTTAAAATAATGGATTGAATGTCTGGCCTTGCCTAGGGAAGAATCTTGAATGGACTGGTATTATCTGGACTAAGAGGAGCGCTAATTACAGCTCAGGCCTGCAGTTTTGAATCCGTATCTCCAAAGTCACAGAAAACAACCAAGTTCTCTTAGAGCGGAGCTATGTAACACTTGAAGACAGTGACATATAATACTGTACCTAGAGCACAGTGATCTGAATCCAGCATAAGCTCAGACAACAACCTCCAACAGAGGTGGCAAAGCAGCTAGAGGTTGCCCAGGAAGATCTGGGAGATCTAATGGCCAACAAGGAACACTTGTAATCAGCATGGAGTAATAGGCTAGGACGAGGTGCTGAGGACTTGCAGTGGAACATCTGCAATAGCGAAGCAGCCCCAGCCTAGGACTCAGCTAAGCACTGCATCCTGGTGAGAGAAATGAATCTTCTACTTTCTGCAAACTGTTTACTGACATGTAGACCGTGAAATGTTTTAACTCTGAAAAAACAGAAATGTTGTCTGTCTTCAGAGAAAAATGTCATCAAAATGATTCCACACCATCTTACAGGCCAAGAAATAAGAAGAGTTATCACGGGTATTATCATGCTAAAATCTCTGGTAATTTAAAAGTTTAATCTCCACAC